ACAGTCCAGCGACCAGCTCCCGCCCCCACTCGGTTCCTGCAGGGGTCTGGAACCCACTCTGCACCCAGACTAAGCGAAGCTTGCAGGGTCCCCAGGGTCTTCATCGGCTCTCTCCAGCGGTTTCCTGGCTCCCCGGGGGCTTATAAATGTCCGTTTTGAATCCCGCCTATTGCCCCTCCATCGGGCCCAGGTCTTAGGCAAGCGGAAATAGTGAGCTCGCCTCCCTTCCCACCTCCCACTCAGGTGCAGGACTTCGGATTGAAGCACCTCCTGGCTATGAGGAGTCTGCGTCTCTTGTCGCTGGCAGGTGAGACCCCCTGCGTGCGTCCTGTGCATTGAACTTCGCGCTCACATAGTGAGACGCTCCCAGCCCCATCAAGCCCTTTAGGGGATTCAACCAGGCGCCAGCTCCCTGGTTCCAAGTTCAAATCACAGGAGAAACAGCAAACACTAACCTAAAGCCGGCACCACCTCTGGTCCCCGCCCCCAACAGGGCCCGCCCAGTGCAAGCTCCACCCTGGTTGCCAGCCTGGCGAGCCCCCTCACAGGGTTCCCTGCCCAGCACCGCCCACTCCCGCCCTCCAGTGCAGGCCCCGCCCACGGTGCCCTGAGCTTCTGCCCTGCCCCGCCTGCCACAGGCTGCCCGCTGCTGACCACCACGGGGCTGTCCGGCCTGGTGCAGCTGCAGGAGCTGGAGGAGCTAGAGCTGACCAACTGCCCCGGGGCCACACCTGAGCTCTTCAAGTACTTCTCACAGCACTTGCCCGGCTGCCTTGTCATCGAGTAGCGCGAGGCACCCCGCCTCGGCCGCTGGAACAGGCCACGATCTGGGCGGGTGCTGGTGCCATTGAGTCCCGTTTTTGACCCCACCGGGAACACAGAGAACCGAGGGAAACTCCGCCCTGCCCTCACCCCTCGGCTCCTTGCCTGCCCGGCCCGCCCTGGGCAGGGGGTAGCAGGGCCAGCCCCACGCACGCACGCACACTCGGGGACTTTGTGCATGCCCCTCGTGCCCGCACTGCACGCCCGCCCTCACCACACTACCGCCGCCGCCATCACTCGCCTGCCCGCTGAGGAGCTCGGTCCTCGGGCGCTCTCGGCCCAGCCGCCCTCCCCACCACACCTGTATTCTGCCTCCCTGCTGTCTCCTACCCCGGGCAGGGCCCTGGGGAACAGGGGAATTAAGTCCCCCAAGACTCAGAGGCCCAGGAAAGCCCCAAGGGTCTCCTGCATCTTCCATTTTACTGTGCCTGGAGCCCTTGGAGAGGTGTGAGGGGACACAGGCCACTGCCAAAGCCATGGCCCTCTGAGGAGCCCAACTCCCCCTCCCCTTCCCCTACTGACCCAAAAGGCCACCCCTTTTCCTGGCAGCAGGCCACCATGTAGGCCAGTCCCTGTCTGCCCTCTCAGCCCCACATGGGCCTACAGATTCTTGGGCCCTGGCCAGGCTGAGATAGCCTTGGGATGACAGTGACCTTGGATTAATCAACATTAGCCCCGCCTGTCCCGTCCACCTCAGCTTGGGGGTGGTACAGGTATCTTGAGAGTCCTCAAGCTGGAGCCACCCTTGGCACCATGGGGAATAACTCGGCCAATCCTACACCCAGCCCTGCACCTCAAGGCTCACCCTGGGCAGGTCATCTGAGATGGAATCTGCAGAAATGGGCCCAGCTGGGGGTCAGGATCAGCATACCTTCCACACTCAAGAGGAGGGAGGACCCCTTTCTACACCCACCCCATGCACCCCTCCCCAGCTTCCCCCACCTCTGCCTGCCCAAATGGGCTCTGACTGTCTTCTGTCTAATCCCCAGACGTTTGGAAGTCATGGGGGATGCTGGCACATCTTGGCAATGCTGAGGAGGGGGCTGGGACCCCTTTCCATCCCAGCCTTGAACCCCAGGAGATACAGTGCCCACACCCAATCTTGGGACAACCTTTATCTGGTTGGAAGGGAGTAGCCAGTTTCCACAGAGAGAGAGAGAGAGAGAGAGAGAGAGGGAGAGAGAGAGGAGAGAGAGATGCTGTTGACGCAGAGAAACAGTTCAGCAGCCCAAAGAGTTCCCTGCCCCTGGAGTACTGGCCGAGGAGGCTCCAGGCTGGAGTGGTCAGGAGCCAGTTTCTTCAGCCTCTCCTCCCAGAGCCCCCTCATAGGGAGGGGGCAACTGTCCATTTGCCCAAAGTATTAATGTAACTGAAGCTGTGACATTTCCAACAACTGTAGGAGGAAAATTTAAGGAGAGAGAGGAAAACAAAACCAACCAACCCCTAAAATCACTTTCTTATTGTAAATAACGACCTCATTCTCCTGTATATGCGGAAGATATAACCTTATATTTGGTAAGTGTTTCTTGTGCTATTTTATCACGTGACCTGTTTATAAAAATATATATTAAAAAAGTTGTAAAAACATGAGTCCGGGTTGTTTTGGGCTTACCGGACCGTAATGCAGAGGTAACTGCCCTGGAAGGCCCAGGGGTTCTCATGCAGTCTCAGTGCATCAGATTTATGCATTCTTTCAACAATCTGACAGACTGGAACTGAGCAGTGACCAACACAGGAGTTCCCCAGCTCCTGACAGAAGGCATGGAGAGATGACACGAAAGTCATCACACATAATATTCTCTCAAAATATCTAGGATCTAGCCCCACCCTTCTAGAAAGCCAGAAATGAGTGGTGTCCTATGTGCAGGAACTAAGCAAAGGATCAGGATGTCCTAAAAAAAAAAATCACCTAGTGCTCCAGGAGAGTAGGACCACACCCAGAAGAGAAAGGGAGGCTGCGTTTGAATGGGGCCACTAAGTAAATGGGCCATGTCAGGCCCTGATATTTGAAACTAAGGCACATTTAATCCCTGCATTGGTGTTCACATCCATGTGATAACCACTGGTAAGCAACAAATCAGGCTGTAACAAGTATTGTGGAGGGGACAGTGATTTGTGAGGATATTTTAGGCAGGATGCCAGGGAAGGCCTCCATGCTCAGAGAAAGTGGCATTTAAGTAGAGCTCAAGGAGTGTCAGGAGACTGAGGCAGGAATGATCTTGGGCTGGCTTCAACCAGGGATCTGTACCTGCAGACAAAGGACAGTCAGAGGCTGGGGTTTATTCACCTGCGGCAGGGCATTATGGGAGGCCTTAGGCAGAAGATGAATCAGTTGCTGTTTGTCTAGCAGATCAGGTATGATGGACAGATCTGGGAGACAGCTCCTGAGCTCCACAGGAGGAAAGTGGAGGGGTTTGGGACTTGTGTAGGGGTGACCAGACTTGCAGAAGGACCTGAGAGAAGTAATAAACAGTGGTACTAAAACATTGAAATTAAAATAAAAAGCACAGCAAATCAAATCAGAACTCAGTTTTAATTCATATGGTTAAGTACCATTCTGAGTTTTTGTTGCTTGTGTTTGTATAAATAAAATACTTGTACAAATGGTTTATGTTTTAAAACATTCATTGAAACAAAAACCATGGATGACAAGCCCATGTTTCTGAGATGCCATCATTCAGAGCAACCTAAGAAATTAGTCACTTCCAGCTAAATTGAACGTTGTCCTGAAGCCATAACATTTCAAATTAAAGAAATGATTCTATGGTTAACTGGACAGTTTAAAGTGGATAATTTCAAAGCAGTCAGGGCCAGGGATTTAGCTCAGTGGTTCAGCGCCTGCCTCGCGAGCACAAGGACCCGAGCTCAATCCCTAGTACCCCCCGCAAAAAAAATCAAAGCAATCATATCAGAACCTATATCTATGCCTTTTATCACATAAATGCAGCATTTTACTTGTAAAATTCCTGAAAAGAAAAATTTTATCACTACCAACAACTTCTCCACCCAAATAAGGAAACAAGACAAAACCTATTTTGTTTGAATTAGCTAAACAACGCTTGTCAGGGGACATTTAAATACAGTATTCCTAATGACCTATTCCTTTACAATAAGTTGATAACTGTGTACTCAAAGGTCATGATTCATGGAATGTCTAAGACTTGGCTCATGGAAACCTATTGAGATGGTTAGGACCTGTTGAAATAAAAGAGTAATTTAAATTATTCACCTGCATGGTTTTCTTGTTTGTTTGTTGTTTGTTTTTGAGACAGAATCTCACTATATAGTTCAGGCTGGCCTTGAACTCACTGTGATCCTCTTGCCTCAGCCTCCCCAGTGCTGGGATTGCAGGAGTGCACCACCATGCCCAGCTGTATGTTTTTCTTGACCCTCACGTTCCTTATATGTAGGCTCAATCTTTTTAGTATTGGGGTAACTTTGAGCGAAAGCCAAGAAAATAACTTTGTAATAGTCAGACTGTTATTCTGTTGTACATCGTATTCTGCTGTACATCGTTTATTGTAAATAGTGGTGAGCATTGGTCAATAATTTTATATTTCTTTAGAAAATGAGGAAAGGCCTGGGGATTTAGCTCAGAGGTTCCTCCGCCTGCCTCCCAAGTGTAAGGTCCCGAGTTCAATAACCGGTACCAAAAAAAAAAAAAAAAAAAG